AGATGTTCTAGAAGAGAAGTAAAATACACGAGAATGGGATGAAGGAAAGAATTAGTAAGTCAGATAAAGAATAGGAACAAACTGTTTAACTAAACACAGAATCACTAATGCCCTTAATGAAAGTAGAATGGATGGAGAGAAAGGATTAAAATTCTTAACCTTAAGAAATAGAAGAGTTGGAGAAAGCGAATATAGACAACTCTTTCAAACAGTTTTGTTACAAAGGAAGACCAAAAAAAAAAAAATCAGAGAAGGGAGACTGGGTACAATGACAAGAATATCCACTTGAAAGTATTATTTTTATTTTATGTGTATGGGTGTTTTAATGTATGTATATGTATGTATATATGTTAGTGCATCACATTTGCACTTGGTGCCACCAGACATCAAAAGAAGGCACTGGATCCCCTGGAGATAGAGTTAAAGACAGCTGTGAGCCACCATGTGGGTGCTTGGGATTGAACTCAGATCCTCTGGAAGAAGAGCCAGTGTTCTAAACAATTGAGCCAACTCTCTAGCCCCCCCTCAGAATTATTTTCCTGTGTGTGTGTGTGTGTGTGCACGAGTGTGTGTACCAGTTGTGAACAGGATGCTCTCAGAGAATAGGAGAGGGCTTCCCATCTCCCTGAAGCTCTAGGGCTATTGGTGGGAGTGAACCACTCAACATGGACTGGGAACCTAACTCAGGTCCTCTAGAAGAACAGCAAGCGCTCTTAACCACTGAACTGTCTCTCCAGCTTTATTCATTTTTATTTTCCTCAGGTTTTTTTTATGAAAGAAGAACAAATGGTTCAATAATGATTAGGTAGAAATGATCCAGAGGAGTGAAAATTTGATGATATACACAAATCCTGACTGGTGAATAGGATAGGACAAATAGGTCAGTAGAGAGATGTCTCTGAGAAGGAAATACAATGCTCCACTAATGGTAAAAGGCTAGCAAATAGGCAAAGCATGTGGATACTGATAGTGAGTGAATGTAAGGAGTGTGAAAGTTGAAACATGTTGTTTTCTTAATATACATATGTATACATATACATATATATACACACACATATTACAGTGAAGGAAGCATCTATAGATAAAGGCTGAAGCAAAAGTCTGGGGTTTCAGAAGATGAAAGATTATTAAAATGACCATGTAAGATAACAAAAAGGACGAATGAATGGATGAGGGATAAATACGCTTATCACCCAGCTGCACTAAAGGTATGCTTAATGTTTTCAGTCATGACTAATATAGCCAGTCAGCAAAACTGTACATTTTGCTCCATTAATTTATAGTTAAATGGATAGGGACACTGAGTAGGTAGAAAATTAAAATTAAGGTTCTTGTTTCTCAAAGCAGAAGTACAAGAAAATATCATAATGATCCGCCACAGAATTTAAGCGAGAAAGACATGGGGAAAGTATAGGAGCAACAGATTTGAGGGGTGGTGGGGTTGTTCAAGGAATTGTTGGGATGTGGATACTAGAGGGAGTGTGCTAGAAACACAGACAGTAGAAGTCAGAAAGTAAAATACTTAAGACAGAGATTGCTGGTGGAATACAAGTTGAGAATGATACGGTCTCGGAAAGGGGTTCTGCATCTCATCACCTTACACCTTAGATCAGACAGTTCTTTGTTATCAAGACCTGTCTAGGGCAGTGTTGAGTGTTTAACATCATCTACGGCTTCTACCCATGAGATGCCTCAGTAAGACAAGCCTCCCCAATGGTTGTGACACTCAAAAATGTCTCCAGACTTTGCAGAATGACCCTCAATTCAGAAACACGACCTAGTACATAACCAAGTGGTTGAGATCGGGGAGGAGAAATGTGCAAGGAGCCAGAGGAAGAGAACTGCGAGAATCGTCCTGGAGTTTATCAGGGTTGGAAAGAGCGAAGATGGGAGCAGGGCTTGCAAGGGTGACAGTGTGCTGAAGGGACAGCAGTCAAGTGAAGCAGATGTCAGAGATGACAACAATTAGGGGAACGCATGACATAATCTGGTAGCAAACCTCAGGGCTGATGAAACACAGCTCCACAACAGTGGTAAATCTGGAGCTAGAATGACGGAGCCTCTCCTAAGGCATTTTTAAATGTCTAGAAGGTGGGCAGACACCTCCACATGACTTCATGTTCAATTAAATTAGACTCACAGAGTCAAAAATAGGGGTCAGTCACAAACAATTGGCACCATTTCTGACTCCATATATAACAAACAGCTGAAGGCACATATTTTTGGCTGAATGCCATTCTAAAAATAGGGCATAGCATCTTGGTTTTTAAAATACTCTTGATTTTCTTTCTGCTTCATAAAAACACCATACTGCCTTAGATTAGCAAAGAAGCATCTTCTATTACGTGATCGCCTTCCTCCGTTCCCATAGAGAAATCACAGCCAAGACTTTCCTTGATGGCCAAACTACCTTCATCTTCACACAGTCTGGCCATCAGGGAGGACAAAAAGACCTTAATATTAAACGGGCTCATTTGCAATGCCCTACCACTGTGCCTCACCTGCTCCTCTCAATGCCACCTGGAAAGACATCATCTCACCAGATGATCTAGAACAAATGCCCAACTTTGATTTGCACCTACTTACAGTGTATCTACAAAGAAAGTACGCAGAATTAATAGGTGAGTCCCCTCTATAGGAGAAGCAACCTGAAGATGGAAAATTCAGACTGAACTGCTATTTATTAAGCTCTCCCCGGTGTGCTCTCAGTGCAACAGTTAAGTCTGCAGACCACACACAGGCTTACTGAACTTTCACAAGCCCATCGACCCGCACCATTCTCTCTTCCTATAGCTATAGTGAATTACAATTCTACAATACATAAACATGAAGCACAAAGATGGTACTTCTCCAGTCCTGCTCAGCTTTACAGATTACTGAATCCAAGATTTAAAGCTCACATAAAACAAGGGCAAAATCCTCTCGTTTCCCCAAGTAGCATTTGCTGGAGCTCAGTCGTGGTATAATTCCTTAGATTTTTTTACATAGTGCTATAGCAATGACTAAGGTATTTTCAAGTGTTCTTCTGAATGAGATCCTCTCCTTACCAGAAAAATGAGGGAAAAAATCTTTAAAGTATGGACTGGGATTTAAACCTTAGCTTTGTAACATAGCAACTGTCCCGTTGCTTAAAATTATCTGATCTCATTTCTTCGTCTGTTAAGTGGGAACAATGGTAACTTAGTTCCCCTGAAGAAAAATTTCCCTAGAATATGAATGACATACTTCTGATAGTAATTTTTCAGTAAATAAACAATAGTCCTATTTTTTAATTAGCTAAAACAAGTCTCAGAAAATGGAAACAACACATCTAGTTAAGCCTCTCAACAAAATATTATGATTTTCCTATTAAAATCATAAGCTTGGGATTGTAGCTATTTTAATCTTTCTCTATAATTATGACATGAACACAAAGAACGGATGCCTACCTTCCAAACTCTCTTGTTCATCTGAAGTATATGCATCCATCTGACTTTGTTCCCGCAAGAAACGAATAACTGCATAAACCAGAGGCTTGACCGATGACATTTTAGAAGCTTAAATACCTCATCGATGAAAAAAGAAGAAAAATCAATGATCATACATTATGTTAAAAGCAATAAAAATATTCATTATCTTGATCTCTTCTCTCTTTAAAGCATCAAGAAAGCACAAGATGTTACAGTAATGTATTCCACATGTTCATTCAAACCCAGCACTATTAAACTATATTAAAGCTTGCCTCAGGGAAAAGACATGTTTTCAAAACATGTATAGCAAAGCTTAGAACTCATCCTGTCTTAACAATGCATAAGATACAGACACAAGAAAGTATAGGGGTGCAGACACAAAGAATTACCTTTGAAAGGCCTCACTTTTAATTGAGGAGATTTAGTACTGCTGACTCAGAAGGCGAGCCACAATGACCATCTTCCTTTATTTCAAGAGGTGTGTGTGTGTGTGGTTTTTTTTTAATGTATTAATAATTTACACTCCACTACTTTTGTAGGTTGAGAGTTACTTGCTGACGACAAGGCTCTGTGGAAAGGTTGTTCAACCATTGAGCACTATTGTGAATAAACAGTGTTTCCAATTTAATCTACACTGTTCAAAAATCACCGTCTAAAACGACGGATTCTACAAACCGACCTGCCCAGCCTGCAGTAGCTGTGCTCTCGTGGACAAGCTGGAAGCTCCTGGCCGCGTTCATTCACATGGAATACTATGCATCCAAACAGTGGCGCAGGGCCAGGCGGCATTAATGGCTTGTTTCCACTAAATCGTATCAGCAATCTGCTACCCAGGATCCCTAATTCACAGCCAGGGTGTGGTACTGGACGCTGGGATGTTTATTGGCTTTGTACTTCTTTTAAAGCAGAGCCGAGTCTTTAGGCCAGAGAGGTTATTATACATACTCACTAAGGCCCAGGCAGGGGGTAGAAAGGGGAAACAGAATGGGGGGGGGGGGGATTGGGGGAAGCTGTCCAACCTCCTCCAAGTTTCCCCTCCTACATCTCCAGTCACATCCACCTCCCACTCCATGGCCCCCTCCCCGCTGTACCCCGGCTTTGCCTCAGCCCAGACCGGGTTTTCTCGGGGTGCGCGGTGCAGGCCTCCATCTGGGGCTGCAGGAGACGCACCCTTTCCGGATAGAAGCCCCTTACCAGGCAAGAGGACACGAGACGACGGCTGCGGGTCGGGGGGGCGTCGGGAAGTGGGTCCGCCTGCCCCCGCGGTCCTCGGGCTCGAGCGGCGCTCTGGATCGCAAAGCAGGTCGCGTCTCCCAAACTTCCCCGGCTCACACACCGCCGCCGCCCCCTCAGCCCACCCGGCTGCTCGCTAGGCTCTCGGACGCTGGGGCTAGCTGGATCCGCCCCTGGGGCGGAGCAGGGCACCGAGTGGGTGGGGGTGGGGGCGGGACAGGACGAGAGGCGGGGCGAGGGATTCGGGGCGGGGCGAGCAGTAGGACAAGGGAGGAGCCGGCCTGGGGAGGAGCCGGATGCAGGGCGGGCCTAGGGGGCGGGGCCGCGGGCGGAGGCTTGGGGCTGCAGCACGTGGGAGGGCGCTGGCGGGGCTGGCCGCTGCGTTCTTGAGGTCTGGTCTCGGCGGCTAGGCCCACTCTCCTCGGCTCCCGGGCCCGTGGACTCCACCGCCCGCCTCCCGCACCCACAGGCCGGAGGACCACGCGCCCGCTGCTGCCGGCCTCCCGGCGCGCCCATGATCACCCTGTGCCTTTCGGCTGTGCGAGGCCTCCACAGGTAACGCCAGTGGGCGGGTTAACCTTGACAGTGGGCAGGGTGGGGTCGTCTGTCCGCGAATTCCACGGGGCCTGATGCAGCCCTATTGCACCCCTCCGATGCTCCTGGGACTGTCCCTTCCCTCTGCCTGCTTGGTGGACCCCGTAGAGACAGCTGGCACGGCAACCTGGGGCCACCTTTCCCTCCTGGCTTCCCTCAAGAGGCCATCCTTGCCCCTTTGTTTGGGATTGCTTCAGCTGCAGTCTGTGAGAACGGTGGTTCACAGACCCAACCCAAAATAAGTACCAAAAGACAGGCGGACGTTCCCTTCAGAACTGCAGACCTGATACAGAAAGTGCCGCAGCTGTGGACTCGGGAATAAAGCACTTCCATATGCGCCTCATGCACTTGTTAGCGTTCCGGGCGATTCATGTACACCTGGGACCGTTTTGATTTTGATACTTATTTCCGTCCATGCTTTCTAACTTCTAACTCTTGTTTTTTTTTTTTTTTCTTCCTTCCCATAAAACATTCGGCCTCTTACCCTGGCTGGGAAATTGGCTTGGCCCAGAATTGTTGCTTGGACACGGTTTGGGGCAGCCTAGGCTGCTGCTTCGAATTGCTTCCTAGCACTGCTCTAACCACACCCCTCTGCTACAGACCAGTAGCAAAATGGTGAGAGAATTAAATTCTTCAGAAACAATGCCTCCACTTCCCCCATTGCCAAATCTGCCCTACACTGAAATTTCAAGTGAGACTTCAGCAGGGAAAAGAGAACTTTGTGGGGTTTGTAGATGTGCACGAAACTACTTTGAACCGTCAGCGTTTCTGCTTTTCCTAGTTTCCTATTGTGCTTTGCCACTCATCTGCGTGGATCTTTGTGTTCCTTAGTCCTCGCTGTCATTGTGCACCCAGGGGACAGCAGTGATTCGGAAGAGTTCTTGTGGTGACTGTGACTATTATTTGGGCTGCATTTGTTGTTGTTGTTTTTCTGGTCTCCTGGAAGGAAGTGGCATAGCTGTGAAATGAAGCTGTACCTAGAAATGAAGATCTTCACTTAGAAAAGCAAGAAGACAATACATTTCCATTACAAGGCAACTAGCACTCTTCTCTAACTTTTTAATATCAGAATGCCTTTATCTTTCAAAAATTGCTGAAAGCCTAGGAACATTAGTTTTGTTTTTGTCGAATATATCTGCCCATAGTTAACCATATAAAATTAAAACTGGGACAGTTTTAAAGGATTAATGTGTTTATCGACTAGTAATAAAATACATTGCATGCAAATTTTTCCATTTGTCTGTCAGTGGACGATGAAGTGACAATACAAAATAGCTTGATTCCCACATAAACCTCTACATTTAATCAGTTTCTTTGTTTTATTTTTATTTAAGAAATTTTTACATCATGTTTATATGTAGTTGGAAAGAGAATATTTTAATAGCTTCCTGCAGTAACCATGGGCAGATACCACACCAAAGTTGGACGGATGGTGGTTTTTAAAGGGTGGGCTGTAGAGTGGAGTGGGGAGTATGTACCATTGTGTTCTTCTTACTCTGCTCCATTGAAGTCCACCTGGTATATCGTACATCCTGAATGGAGAGTGTATTCTGCCTAATTTCGTACATTAATCACAGTTCATTTGAAAATTGGTGGTTGTGTTATGTAGTTCTTCTGATGTTGACATATTTTGTTGTATACTGTCAAATGATCTCATTCCTCCGTGCTGTCATCCATTTTATTAGAAGTCTTCAGTGTTCACTGTAGTGGATAGGATTCTCTAAATTCTAGTTTTCATTTGAAAGATGGAACTTTATTAGTGACATATATTCTCATATTTTTTCTTGGAGTGACAAGCTCCCTTTTGTTATTTTTCTGGGGATTTTTTTTTTGTTTTTTGAGACAGGGCCCTTGCTCTGTAAAGCTTGTTGTGGCCTTGAATTGACGACCCTCTTGTCTCAGCCCCCAGTTGCTGAGATGACAAGCCACCTCACACACCTACTGTAATCTGTTGGACATTTAAGTCAGAGCCACCTGGGACTTTTGCTTGTGTCGAGTGCTGGCAATTGAACCCAGGGCCTCACACTAACTGGGCAAGCAGACTAACAGCCAGAGTTGTTACACAGAGAAACCCTGTCTTGAAAAGCCATAAATAAATAAATAAAGTATTGTAATTAGGTATAGTAACACATTTCTGTAATCTGAGATTGGAAACTGGGACAATAGAATCAAGAACTGAAGGCCAACCCAGGGTACATGGTAAGACCTAGTTGCAAAACATTTTAGTCAATTAAAAAAAATTAAAGGGTATTCTATGAAAAGAAAGGGAGGGAAAAAAAAGAGAGATTTTTGGCTCACAATTCACTCACCTTCACAGATGCTTTGATTTGAGCAGCCAGTTCCTCCAAAATACCATTATACTTGGGTGTTCAGAAGTACTGTATGTGTACCCGGCCATATGGACACACTGAAGGGTTGAGACTTTAGAATAAATAATATTTGTAAGCAGATTCCCCTGTGTCCCAGCAGTCACTCCTAAATAACCACATAGAGATTTATTATTAATTATAAATGCTGGACTGATAGCTTAGGCTTGTCTCTGCCAGCTCTTACAACTTAAATGAACCCATTTCTATTAATCTATGTGCTGACCAAGGCTCATTTACCTCATCTATGAACTTCCCATGTTGCTTCTTCTGCATCTGGCTGGAACTCCTCAGACTCCTTCTTCCCCAGCATTCTCTCTACCCTGAAAATCCTGCCCAGCCATGTGCCAGTCAGCTCTTTATTAACAATGATAGCAACATATCTTCACAGTGAACAGAAAGAGTACTCCACAGCAGATATTTAGTACCTCAGCAAGAATATCCTTCAGTGCAACTAAGATTCTTTTTAACATGAGTGGCCTTGAATTTGTCTACCAGTGGTAATCATAGTTTTTGAGTTTGAAGATGGCAAGAGATTTTTCACCATTGCTTTTTGTTATCACTGCAAATGTCTGTATGACAAAACCATTGTGCTTCAGTATTTGAAAGAGTCTTAGGATAAGAAATAGAATTTGTAAACCCAAGAACATTTATAGCTTATCGTATTGTTTTCTAAAACTGTATAGGTTGAGTGATGGCACGGAGGGCAGAGTGCTTGCTGTGCAAGGCTGAGGTGCTGAGTTTGGTCCACAGCACTCATGTAAAGGCTAAGACATTCTGTCCACAGCTCATGTACAGACTAAGACACTGTCCACAGCTCATGTAGAGGATAAGACACTCTGTCCACAGCACTCATGTAGAGGCTGAGCCACTCTGTCCACAGCTCATGTAGAGGCTGAGACACTCTGTCCACAGCACTCATGTAGAGGCTAAGACACTCTGTCCACAGCTCATGTAGAGACTAAGACACTGTCCACAGCTCATGTAGAGGCTAAGACACTCTGTCCACAGCCCTCATGTAGAGGCTAAGACACTCTGTCCACAGCACTCATGTAGAAGCTAAGACACTCCGGGAAGAGTGTCTGCAATATTGGGGGTTGGGAGTGCAGGTGGAGGGAAATAGGTGGATCTCCAGAGCTCCATGGCCAGCTACTCTAGCTGAATTAGTGGACTAGGGTAAAAAGCAACGAGAAAGGTCTCCAACATTGGCTTCTGGCCTCCATAAGCACACTTGTGTACATACAAACACATATACCTTTATACACCAAAAAAAAATTCAAGTTATAACACACCATCAAAATATATAAATGTGATTTCTCTATACTTTTGCCAATACCTCGGCATTTAAGTATTTTTTATCCTTACCAGTATGGAAAGTGGAAACTTCTCATTATAGTTTATATTTCCTTATTTTTTGTGATTTATTAGGTGAATATAATTTCTTGACAAATTCAGGGCTGTGGTATAGAAACAGACAAAGTAATTTGTTTTCTGATGTAAAAAGATCTTTTGAAAAAAATCTTAGAAAGTCAAAATACAGTTATTCATAAATTTCAATAATTTTTTACATGTTTGATTGTAGTTAAATGAAATTGAGATTGTACCCCTAAGTCTAACACATAGTAACCTCCACAGTTTTCGGACAGTAGTGCCAGGAAAAAAATTGTTCAATAAAGAAAGGATTTGAAGGTACAAATATCAAGAAGCCAAACTAAGTTTATTTGTCAAAAACATAGATAAAAAGAAGTTACAAATGGGAATTTTGTTGTGATACCTTTTCACTGCTGACTTTGGTCAAAAAAATCATGTTGCTTTTTCAAACTTAAATATAATCTTTTGGTTGAGGCAAAGTGCAGAACTTCTGTGAGAAGGAAACACCTATACTAAAGATGTGAAGAACCAAGGAAATTCATGTGTGTCTTATGAGGATTTACATGCCAAGGTGTGTGTTGCAAAGGGCATGTCTAGACTTGGGAGGCTGGATCCAGCATGCCAGAGTTTGCCTGCTGCCTCTCTCTGTCCCTGACCAGCACTGTGTCTTAGGCTAAAGTGTTTTATCTGTGACTGTTTCCTCATCGGTAAATTGACAACTTTCTAAATGCTGTCTGTCTTCAGTCACCAAATATTTGAGGGTGTATTAGGTCCCATAATCTCTTATAACTGAGGGACATAGTGAACAGAGCAGGCAGAAATCTTATGTTGGGGGAACTTACCTTCTATAAGGAGAAAAACAATTAAAGAAAATTGATGCATATTAGATAGAAAAACCACATTTTGCTATTTTTAGAGCAGGGAAAGGAGAATATTCAGTATTGAATGGGAATGAAATTGTACATAATGGCCTGGTGAGGTCCAGACAAAAGGTGACATTTGAGCAATGATCCAAGAGAAACAGGAAATCCCAGGAGCTGAGCATTCATCAGAAAATGAAAAAGGCCACAACGGTGATGTTTATGCTGTGCTGGAGAAAGTAATGTCAGGAGCTACGACAAGGAAAGTATGTTCATGTTTCAGATTCAGAGATGATAAATATAAGGCGTTTTGGAAGTTATCAGGCTAGATCCATTCCTGTTGCCACACTGGTGCTTTGTAACT